CAAGTGTTTTGTAAAGTTTGTTTAAATGCTTCTTTTACACTCAAAGAACGTATTATGGAAATGCTACAAAGTTTTTCCTTTTTTTAAAGCTTAGAAGACAAACCTTAAAAGACAGTTTAACTTAAAGAGAGATTCAGTAAGGGCTGCAACTAAAGATTATTTTGATAATCATTTATTGTGTCAAATAATTTTTTCGATTAATTGATTAATGATCAAATAGCGAAAGGATCCTTAAAAAAGATTTTATACAGAATTAAACCAGGTGAAACTAAAACTTTTCAACTTGTCGAGCATATAGAAAGGATACATTTATTAAAATCTGAAATGCAAAATATTTTATCACAATTTTGGTTTAATTACTGCTCTAAGGCGGTAGCCCTGTTATCTGAATGCATGTTCTAGAGCCTTTATACTACAGTTTACGATTAATGAATTAATTGATGATTATTTTAATAATTAATTATTTAGGATTAATTGTTTCAGCCCTAGATTCTGTAACATTTTAGAATTTAATCTAATTAACTCATCTCTGAGGGACGGCATCTCTATCCTCCTGGATTCAGCTTCTCCAACAAAACATTAAGGGAAAAACTTGGAAGATATTTATCTTGACTTTAACTTGACAAAAATGACCCTGCAAACTCTGCAATAAGATATAATTCACATTTTAATCAACTCAAAATAGGAGCTCAATATAAGGTTAAACAAGCACTAATATTGTAATTCTTATTAAAGTGTCCTATGGTATATTTTAAGTTCTTTAAGCTTAATTTGATCAAATAGTTATTGACAGGCTTCTCTACCTAAGGAATCAGCAAGTGTCATAAATCCACACATTTTATGAATTTCCCTTAAGACATATAAAAACAGCCATAGAACAAACAAAAAGGTATTTTTTTAAATATCAGTTGTATTTTAGGGAATAAAAGTTGTGCGAAGTACAGCAAACCCAGTGTAAAACTGGAGGGTTTTAATCATGTTGCTAACTCTGCTCTTTTCCTATAATAATTCAGAAATGAGGAATTTGTCGCTCTTCATCGTAACATTCAGCTTTCTCGTGAAAGTTATAGAAAGGAGAAAAAAAAACAGAAGTAAAAAATATGAAAGAGTGACAGTCCCATGGTTTCCTTCTATTTTGGCTTTTCTCTGTGAAAGCATGACCATGTTTGATATTTGTAAGGACTAGAAGTTGCTGATGGTTGCATTTTGACGTAAATGAAGTCGGCCTTTGACTGCTAGTTATGCAAACACGGAAAAACTTTACAAGATTTCTAAAGACAGGACAGTAATTTGAATTTAGTAGAAATAAATGCTTTTATCATGGACATATTTTAAAAGGGAGTCCTTGCTCTAAAAATAAATGTTATCCTTTTACAAAATTCATCAGGAGAACAGCGTTAACCATTTACCCATGAGCCTATAAAGGATAATTTTTATCGTCTTTCAGCATTAGAGTTGCTTAAGCCCATTTATGAAAGTCGTTTTTAAATATAATGTAGCAGTTAGGATGTCATGTGGACAAAGTGTTCATACAGTATATTGATCTCTCATTTTATTTTCAGTTCATAAAAAAACAAGTAAATTTTACCTTGTTGTAGTAAAAAAAACAAAAGTGGGTTTTCTATCAAAGGGAAACGTTGCTCTGCGGCTGTACACACGTTTTCATTTCATTCAATTGTTAATTCAAAAGTCTTAATCAATTTTGAGCTAAACTAAACATCTGAACTTTTAATGGGATATATAAGGGACCGATTTATCATCATGGGTGCTCAATGTAAGATCTGTTCATCCATTTTCCATCACACTTATCTAGAGCGGGGTTTTAGGGGTGCTGGTGCCCTTCTCCAGCGGTCAGCAGGAGAGAGGCGGGGTACATCCTGGAAAGGTCGCCAGTCCATCGCAGGGCCAACGTAAGATGAGTCTAATTATAGTCGATTAAAAATTAGAATAAATGTTTAATTATCTGAATTATTCTATTACCTATCTTCTAAAAAGCATGTGATTAGAAGTCATTTTCTTTTCTTTTAGATTCTGTTTATATGATCTGATTTTTGGGGTATTTTCAAATCCATATTAAATATGTAAAAAAAAAAAAAAAGACAAAAAAACAATATGTTTTAGTAATATGTTTTAAGTAATTTGGGACATGAGCGTTTTACCACAAACACAATGTTAAAAAATATTCTAAGAAAATTCAGTGTTCAATAGAATAGTCAATTACTCTCTCCATTCTAAGTTCATTCATCTATTTCTATTAGGGCTGCAACTAACGGTTATTTTGTGAATTGATTAATCTGTCAATTAATTTTTTGATTAATCGATTAATAATCGGATAGCCAAAGGTTCCCCAAAGAAAATTTTTTATTAAATTAAACCGGGTGAAACTAAAACTTTTCAACTTGAGGAATTTTGGATAGAGCATATTGACAGACAAAAATGTTTGCTTTTTTATCTTAAATGCAAAATGTTTATTTATTTTCTTACAATTTTAATATAATTTCAGCTCAAAGTGGGTTGCTCTGTCAGCTAAAAGCATGTTTTAAAGAATCTATACTCCGGTTAACGATTATTCGATTAATACATTAGTTGATGATTTCAATAATCAACTAATCACGATTAATCTGATTAATGTTTCAGCCCTAATTATTATTTAATCTTTGCATGTGAAACAGCTAGTATAGTAGAGCTATAGTAGTATTTTTGTTTGACCTAGAGTAACTGTATTGTTATGAAGCGTGCTGTCATGTGTTTTATGACTTTTATTGCTTAGTATGTCACTGTTATTACCACATATCCATATAGGCATGCAGTGCTGTGATTCCTGGGTCAAACTTAGCTTTTAGGAAGTGAGTAGTGGTTTGCGTGCCACAAGCTGGTCTGTCTTGTGATGAGATGATCGCTGTGGTTGCAAACTGGTTTTATAAGTAGTGTGATATTTTAATTTAAAATAGAAACTGAGTGCTGAATATTATTTAGCCTTAAAAGTCCAGCTGATACAACAAATTAACAAAGCCTGGATTATCATGTAACGCTGTAAAGATGTAATCTCTCTGCTTTGATTCCATATTCCAGCAGCAGCAACCCAGACTCATACCCCTAAATGTGAAGTAAAGCAAATCTTAATTTGACTTTTTTTGTTATATTATTAATAAATAAACACATTTTTCCACATAAACATGGTGTTGTCATCAAGTTCTGCCTCATTTCTTTAGACGAAGCAGAACTGGAGGCTACAGCAGCTTAAAAATAAGACAAGGAGCAAACTTCAAGCTACAGCTAAGCTCATGTCAAGCATTTGCAGTGTTGCTGAATAATATTTAGACATACACTACTGTTCAAAAGTTTGAGGTCACCTAAAGAATTTTGTGTTTTCCTGAAAAGTCACACTTATTCACCACCATACATTGTGAAATGAATAGAAAATAGAGTCGATACATTGACAAGGTTAGATATAATGATTTGTATTTGAAATAAGATTTTTTTTATACATCAAACTTTGCTTTCGTCAAAGAATCCTCCATTTGCAGCAATTACAGCATTGCAGACCTTTGGCATTCTAGCTGTTAATTTGTTGAGGTAATCTGGAGAAATTGCACCCCACTCTTCCAGAAGCAGCTCCCACAATTTGGGTGCCATACCAACACCAAAGCAACCCCAGACCATCACATTACCTCCACCATGCTTAACATATGGCGTCAGGCATTATTCATTTGTTCTGCGTCTCACAAACATTTTTCTTTGTGATCCAAACATCTCAAATTTGGATTCATCCATCCATAAAAAATTTTTCCAGTCTTCCTCCGTCCAATGTCTATGTTCTTTTTCCCATCTTAATCTTTTTCTCTTATTGGCCAGTCTCAGATATGGTTTTTTCTTTGCCACTCTGCCCTGAAGCCCAGAATCCCGCAGCCGCCTCTTCACTGTAGATGTTGACACTGGTGTTTTGCTGTTACTATTTAATGAAGATGCCAGTTGGGGACCTGTGAGGCGTCTGTTTCTCAAACTAGAGACTCTAATGTACTTATCTTCTTGCTCAGTTGTGCAACGCGGCCTCCCACTTCTTTTTCTACTCTGGTTAGAGCCTGTTTGTGCTGTCCTCTGAAGGGGGTAGTACACTCCATTGTAGGAAATCTTCAATTTCTTAGTAATTTCTCACATGGAATAGCCATAATTTCTAAGACAAAGAATAGACTGTCGAGTTTCAGATGAAAGTTCTCTTTTTCTGGCCATTTTGAACGTTTAATTGACCCCACAAATGTGATGCTCCAGAAACTCAATCTGCTCAAAGGAAGGTCAGTTTTGTAGCTTCTGTAACGAGCTAAACTGTTTTCAGATGTGTGAACATGATTGCACAAGGGTTTTCTAATCATCAATTAGCCTTCTGAGCCAATGAGCAAACACATTGTACCATTAGAACACTGGAGTGATAGTTGCTGGAAATGGGCCTCTATACACCTATGTAGATATTGCACCAAAAACCAGACATTTGCAGCTAGAATAGTCATTTACCACATTAGCAATGTATAGAGTGTATTTCTTTAAAGTTAGACTAGTTTAAAGTTAATAAGGAAATTTCAATGTGACCCCAAACTTTTTATCGGTAGTGTATTTAGAACATTTCTTTGAGCCTACGTATTTCACTCTCTGGGTCACTGCATCATGTGCTTTCAGCCCGATAATGTATTTTACTTAAAACATACCTGATAAAAACATGACAACCAGGCAATCATTGGAATGAATGCAATGTGAAATATTTTGCAGCTCTAAATGTTTGAATAAATGTAGTAATATTTCTAAAATGAGCTTAGTGTTGCTCAACTTTTATGTCAGTGAATATTTATGTAAACCTGATATGCAGTCAGATGATAAATCATGGTTATCACATGTAGAATTACTGAATTATAGTATGAATGTGTGTTGACTGTTTTTACAAAGAATCAGAATCACAATCAGAATTACTTTATTAATCCCTTGCAGGAAATTCTTTAATTGTATAAAAATAAAAAGTTTAAAAAGACACAAATGTATTAAAAGTAGTAAAATACGAGAAATAAACAGGACTATCTGCAACAGGCTGCAAAACGAGTTGAGAAATGCGCACTACTACAAGCTGCATTTATCAGATAACATACCTGTTTTTATCATTAGTACTTTCTAATGAGTTCACTTTTAAACATGTACATTTGATGAGAAATTTGCCAAATTCTTGGTCATTATATTCCAGAATGAGAATAGAATAATGCTTTATTTTTCATGTGCATTATAAAGCTTTATAGTGTATTATAGAGCAGCTTACAATCTTTCTCCCACCTTAAATGGTAACATGACTCCACTCTCCCTCTGCGTCTGTTTCTAAACAAATTATTTCTACTCCTACACCTTTTGTACCACATTAGTTATTTGTAAAATTATATATACAATTTTGAAAGACTCTTATTGATCAAGGCTGTTTAAAATGTGGAGGTTTTATTAAGCTGGTACTTTATAGACCTTCATGTCTTGTTGACTTTACAGACGGATTTTGTAAACAGAATTTTGGTTTCCTCTATAATACAGTCAGTAATTTTCACAACCTTATTGCACCACATTACTTAATTTACTTAATTTTTTTTTTAGCTTTTATTCATTCTTTCCCTTATTAGTTTAATTCAAATGGCTTCCTGTTTTATTTGTCGATTTCAAATTAAAGTCTGACTGAGTTTCCATCACTTGTCCTGATGACATTGGGAACAATTCACTTATCCATTTAATAAGATGGGCAGGTCTGAACATTACAGTTTTATTTTCTGCTTTATAATTATGAATTTTCCTTTTTTTGCTGATGATCAAACATTAATGGATTTAAATCCTTTCTGATTTCCAGGGTTGGGATGTTCCACTGACAGACAGGACTCGTAAAACACGAGCTTAGAGTTGATATTTGCAAATGCAAAGAGAAATGCAAATCCGCCAAAACAATTCGAGCCATTTTAACTGCCGGACGTGCCTTAGAAAGAAAACTACAGGCTGTATGGCTGGAGTTTATTTCTCAGGAATCGTGTTTTTTTTTTTTTTTTTCATTCCTTTCAATATTTATTCAACTGTGTGTCATTTTCCGTCCTGTAGTTGCTTTCTGAAAACCAGTAATATGATCTCTTGACTAAACCGGCAGCTCTCCACAGCATCCCCGTCGGCAGCTTTTTTCATAGCTTCTGTTGCTCCATAGTGAAGCCTGCCTGGAATGCAGGAGTGTTATTTTAACAGTTGACACCCCCGAGGAAAAGGGTTTCTCTGCAGAGCCGTGAGGGGCTGGGAAAGGGAGATAAAAAAAAATGTTTGAGTGGGACCAGAGGGAGGCCTGTGCAGGGTAAAAACAGGAAGGAGGATTTAGCCTGTATAAAAGGAGAACGTTCAAGAAGGTATCGTTTAGGTTTCTATAACCATCATAGAAAAGGCTGCTTCTTTTTTTTCTTTCTTTTGGGACAAAAAGTTGTATTTTCCATATTTGTGTTTTTTTTTATGATTGCCTGTGAGTTCCGGATTGTGTGTTTTTCTAAAGCCTTAAAGGCAAGTGAAATATTTAAAACAGATGTTTTCAGCTATGGTGCAACTTTATAATCTTCATTCAGAATAGCTTTGTTGCTGCTTACAGATGAACAAATATTTTATAATCTCTATTCTCTCTGAAAATGCTGCCCTCTCTTGTCGTTTTTTGTAGCAAGCAGGAGGACAAGACCAAAGCCACATGTCAGGAAGTGCATGCTGACACAAACGCCGGTGAGCATGTGTGTGTGAGTTTCTGCTGCTGACTGTTTACATCTGATCGACCATGCCTGGGCCTGACAACAAGCTGTCGGTGCGACGCTGCCTCACCTTTGCTACTGGCCTGGTGGAGTGCCTCTGTTTTGCTGGAGCTGTGTTTGGGTGGGCTTCCCTCGTCTTTGTCCTCAAGGAGGACCGTTATTTCATCTCCTTGTGTGTTAATGGCACAGGACCCAACGGCACACAAACGCTGGGTGAGTTTTATTTGCCGCCATTGATTAAAAGGTTGATTTTAAACTCTTGTTCTATTGTTAGTTGGACCTGCTTATCACTTATTGATCTCACACTTCTTGGTTTGTCTCTCTTTCTGGATTGCCTCAGACTGCGGCCCACAGGATGAACAGTTCTCACTCATTTTCACCATCGCCTCCTTCATGAACAACTTTCTGACGTTGCCCAATGGTTTCATCTTTGATCGATTCGGTACAACAGTGACTCGCCTCTATGGAATGTGAGTAAAATACCCCCCAAAAAATGAGTAAGAATAAAAACACTTTAATACTCAGCTGGCTACAGAGAATATGATGATTACTTGAAAATCCGTTTTGCTCATTTTGCAAAGGTTTGTGATTCATATGCAGATTTTTACAGAAAATTCTACAGAATCCTCTTCTATCTATCTGTAAAAATGCAAACCTATTGACAGAAAGGTCAAATAATGTTGTTCTTCATTGATTTTTACACTGTAAAGCATGGTGACATCATTTTTATTGTCAGTTCTAATATTCACAGTATGCAAAAGTTCAGCGGTCGGTTAAAAAGATTAGAACGGGTCAACATGAGGTCTGAATTGGCATTTTATAGATTTAATACTTAAGTTTTTGAGCCATCAAGATTTGATGAGGATGGTAGATCATCATGCTATAGTTTACCTTCCTGTTTTAACCATTTATAGAGAACTTTCTTTTTTTTTAAGATGAAATACAATTTCCATAGTGTAAATAAGCCACACTATAACATTTGCATGAGCTATCTTCCATTTTTTTTTTTTTTTTACATAATTTAGCCAACTGTAAAAGTCACCTTATGTTTTTCAGGAGCAAAACTTGTTCCTTTAGAGTTCCTTTTTTGCTAAAGATGTTAAGGTCAAATAAAAAAATATATATACGTAATTATGAAGAATCATCCATCTAAGCACAGATTATTAAAAGAAGCCTGGATAAGGTAAAAAAATAATAATAATTCTGCTCGGATTTGGTTTGGAGAAAGGTCAAGAGGTTGGGATTATTTTATGTTTTACATTTTAAACATACCTTTTCTAAATGCCTTTGAGCCCCCTCTAATCTAAAACCTGGGCTTTGGAGCACGAAACTGCTTATTTATTTTAGATTTGTCCAAAACCTGGTGAGAAGCCAACACATGTTTCTACTAGAAGAGGGTGGAGGTAATATTTAGAGCCATGGAATGAAAATAGCTTAAAAGCAAAAATGGTGATGAGGATAAAGTGTGCTTAATGCAAGCCAAGAAAAGGAAATAAATGTCTACTAAAGGAAAAACAATCTGCATGAGAATAACACTAACTAATAAGCTGTGTCTCCATGCTGTATATTAAACCTTAAGGGCAAAAAAACAACAACAATATTCTCTCTCCTTCCAGATTCATTTACACCCTGGGTACCTTGATGCTGGCTTTTTCTTCATCAGGTAAAAGATCAAAAAGTTTTCTGTCTCAAAGTAAAACACACAAAAACCTGTAAGGAAGGGAAGTTATTTGACATCAATATTTTTTACTCCTAACAGCTCTTGCCTACATTCTCTTCCCGGCTCTCTCTTTCCTGGCGGTTGGAGGCATCTTATTCCTAATGACAAACATGCAGGTACTTTGGAATCTTATAGTTTGATTATCAAAAGGATTTGTTTGTATGATCCTGGGACAACCGATCATCCCAAAACATGGATGGCTGCTTTCACTGTGTCGGTGTTGTAGAATTTGGACTAAAGCATATTTCGTGACATTTGAAAATGTCTTTAAAGTCTCTGATTCTTCCTATTTATTTATTCATTTGTTTATTTGTCAGGGACAGTACACATTAATAAACATTTCTGTAAATGTGTCAGTATCAGCTATGAAGCTAGTTTTCAACTGTTGTACCTGGGCAAGGTGTATAATGCCAAAATAAAATTATAAAAGAAAATAAGGCAAAATACTTACAAGGGCGGGTCAGATAGTTCAAACAGAGACATAAGCATAAATATATACAGATATTTACAAGGTAACACTCAAGCCTGACATTTTGGTGAGTCATGCACCAGGAGATCAGTAAGGTCTAATGAGCAAATTGTTGATTTGATTTTAATCAGTTTTTTAACTGAGTTTTGAATGGTTAAAAGTAGAGGATTCTCTAATATTGAGTAGGATGCTGTTCAAGATGTTACTGCCTCTGACTGAAAGAACAATCTGGCCAAAGGTGGTCCGTCTGGTTCCAAAGTCTTTGTCTGGAACACTTATTAGAAAAAGTATTTTTCATATTGAATTTAAAGTTTATTGAGGATGGAGACTTGGGGCACACAAAAGATGCCATAGTGAGTAGATTACTTTAAATAAATAGGCTTCTTTCTGTTTTACCTTTCATCTCTCTGAAATTCTCCTAAATGATGTTATCATATCAGTAATAGTGACCATTTTTAGGATTGATGACCCAATTAGGCCTTTTTTGAATAAATAAATACATTTTTTTTTTGCATTTCCAAATAATTATGTTAAAAATTAGAGACACACCTATCAATCGGGAAGAAATCCAGTTAGTTCAGTTTGCTCCAATTGCTGTTGAGCAGATTAGCTGAAAAAATCTGAGGTATTTCTGTCATTTAAATTTGTCTAAACTGTGTGATACTCGGTCTGAAAATGCATCACTGTTAATTTGACATTTTTTGATGCCCTAATAAGATGCAGGTTTGGAAAAAATGTCTTAAATGCATTCATGAGGATTTTTTGGGGTCAACCCTGATTGGTGCATCTTTTCTGAAAGTGATTTAGATCACAAGTGGAGAAAATATGCATTTTAAAATAGATCAGATCGATGAAATATCCCCCTGTGTTTTCAGCAGGCTTCTGCTTCCACCTCTGCTCCAAAAAAAAGGACAGAAAAAAAAGAAAAATCTCATCATTAGGAACTACTTCTCCTCTCATGTGTGATCCAGTTTCTGAGGAAACATTGCAAAGCTATTGCAAAAGACTTTATATGACAAAGGTTATTCATGCCAACGTGCCAGTGCTTCATCAGTAAAAGAGGTTCCTGATTTTTTGGGACGATGCTTTATATCTCTGATCCAATTCATGATGATGTTCAAAGAAAACATGAATCTCCTTTGTGAAAATGCCAAATGAAATGTAGCTGTTGACAAAAAAATCCAGAAAGAGATCCTGACGTTCAACGCTAGTTCAGAGAGATCCACATAAATGTAACCTACGACAATAATAACCCGCTTTATGTCTTTAAGGTTGGAAACCTGTTCGGCTCGCGTCGCTCCACCATCATCACTCTCTACAACGGGGCTTTTGATTCTTCTTCAGCGCTCTTCCTCGTCATCAAGGTAAGAAAAGTAAAAGGTGTTTTTTTATGTCTCTATTTCAGCTATAAATACATGTGCCCCTAATGTTCTGCATCACGTCTGTTTTCCTCTGCAGCTGCTACATGAGTCTGGCGTCTCCCTGCGTGCTGCCTTCCTCTTCCTGTCTTCCTGCAGCGTCATTCATATCCTCAGGACTTTCTTCCTGCTTCCCAGAAACTTTATTCCTTACCCACTGCCCGATCGTTACACATATGGGTAAGAGCAGGCTTCATAAATACATCGAGAGAAAAACAGGAATTACTCACCCTTTGAGTTGTTTTATGTCTGGGAACAACATTTTCTGCACATAAAGTGTGATATTTATTACATTTAGGTCCTGACTCAAACCTGGCAGTTTGACCAGCTTCTTATGGTTTGATCTAAATAGCCCTCTGGCTGTGTTTATGGTTCATGTCCCTGTAAAAGGTTAAGCTCCAACTCAATCTCAGGTTTCTTCTACAATTATTCAGTGTGACACTCAGTTCATCCTTCCATCAAATCCAAACAGATTCCCTACACTTACTAAATTAAAGTGTTCCCATACCATAATTCTGACACCACCGTGTTTAACTATTATTTCTTAGTATGTTTGTAGGATTTACTGTATGTGCAATATAAGGGTATAGCAGAAGGCGTATTGATCATTTATATCTGTAGGCCCTGAAATATGCAATGCAAGCCCATATTTTTCACTTCTGTTCTGCCGTCCCACAAAGGAAAGCGATGTCCAGCATTTGGCTGAGTCAAATGAGGAAAAAAGTCCAAAAATATATCTACAAGCATCTTTCCTAAACATTAAGAAAGCAGAGCTGCAGTCAGTGTCACAAAGCTGCACTTGATGCTTTTAAAGCAGAAGAGCTGAAGGATTTTAACAGAGAATATGATGGTCAAAGAAAGGAAAACTCTTCCACTATAAATACTGTGAAGTCGTTAATAGCTAGGTGATTTCTAAAGAGCTTTTTCTGAAGTTTACCAAAGTTACTTTTAGATTTGATTCATTTGGGGCTTGATATAAAGCAACACTATAAATGTGGGTTATAAAAGAAAAAAACATGCAGCATAAAAAGCTGCATCTGTTATGTTTTATCCCTCATAAGCATGCTTTTTGTCCCACTGTTTTCTTTTTTGGTATTAGATCTGATCTGTAGTGCCTTATTGGTCCCTTATATTCATCATCACATCTTAACAATTCAAACTTGTCTGCACAAATATGGTTCACTGAATCTAGGCAGAAGATGCTGTACATAAAATCTTAATAATTACGTTTTTGTTTCTTTATGTGAAATGTGCAAAGAATGGGACTTATTTTATTAATTTTAAGGTATATCAAATTGAAAAGGGTTTGAATCTGAGTCTCTCTTCAAAACCCTTGTTTGCACATTGATGGAAGGTGCAGACTAAGCACAGCAGGTCTAGTTTGCAAAATGTCCTTGTGGGCAAAAAAGACACTTAAACAATGAAGCTGATAAAGGTCACTGGACTGATAAGGTGGAGACAAAGTAATTTGCTGCTGTAACAATATGGGAGATAAACAAAGTCATGAGTGACTATTTTCCTCTTTTATGGGAAGAACTAATCACTCTGTTATAAACTTCAGACAGGAACAGTACCAGAACCGTTCCATGCAGCATGGGGCCGCTCAGTCACACAGCCCAATGTCCTAACGTGCTGCAGGCGGCCGTGAAGCAGACACGTACAAAGCTGTTCTGGTACCTGCGGGAAGAAAAAAGCTGATTCAGGGTTCAGTCACTCTGAATCAATTATTCCAAAGAATCAAAGAAAGAAAATGTTTTAATCTCATCCTCTGCAGGGTCTCTTGTGGTAAATCAGAGGATGCGAGCACAGAGGTGGCAGCAAATGGTCAGGCACATTCAGCAGCTGAGGACACCCCTCTCACAGAGAAGGCTTCCATCAAACAAGGTTCATTATTTAACCTAAAAATGAAGAATATTACTTATATGCCCTTATTTATTTGGTAAAATATGAATCCTTTTTGTCATTTCACTGTATTTATAAACTTTGCCTCTTTTTACCATCCTTAGAGAAGACTTTCCGTGAGTGTTTGCTGTCCAGGTTCTTTATCTGGCACCTGCTCTGGCTGTCGGTGATGCAGCTCCGGCACTACCTGTTCATCGGCACCCTCAACCCCATGCTGCAGAGGCTGACAGAAGGAGACCCCTCACTGGGTAACAGCCATTCAAACACATCACTGTCTCAATGTCAGAGCAAAAGTCTACGACAGAGAAACCAATGTTACATTTTCCAAACAAAACCGCCTCAGTCTTTCTGATGTACGTTGTTTTATATTATTGCACCCACGGCTCAGATTCACATGTGATTTATTTAAATTTTTTGTTTTGAAAAAAAAAAACTTTTATTGTACTTTTGTTATTGCACAAAATGGTCCTTATTAGGGAGCTTCATGGTGGCGCAGTGGGTTGTGTTGCCTCGCAGGAAGAAAGTTGTGGGTTAGATTCCCGGCCTGGCGTCTTTCTGCGTGGAGTTTGCATGTTCTCCCTGTGCATGTGTGGGTTCTCTCCAGGTACTCCGGCTTCTTCCCACAGTCCAAAATGTGATTGTTAGGTTAATTGGCTTTTCTAAACTGTCCTTAGGTGTGAGTTTGTGTGTGCATGGTTGTGTGTCTTTGTGTTACCCTGCGACAGACTGGCGACCTGTCCAGGTTGTACCTTCCCTCTCGCCCGTAGACTGCCGGAGATAGGCACCGGCCTCACCGCAAACCTGACAAGGACAATTATTTGATTATGAAAATGATTGCCTACCAATTTCGTAATCGAATAATCATTACCTGGAGTATACAGACTCTAAAAGACGTCATTTTCTGACAAAACAACCACCACAGCATCAACTAGACCAAAAGAATACACAAAATATACACTTAGCATTTATTATAGAGTATAATTTATCCAGAACACCTGGTAAAACATTGTATAAAATCTTCTAATCAGCACTTTTTGCTGTTTTTTGATTCGTTAATCTAGAAAATAGTCGACAGGTTAATCTACTTGCAAAGTACCGTAATAGGATTAGTCTTGATGCCCATATTAGATAATTTTTTTTTTAGTATTGTAAGGATTTTTTAAGCACCTATTATTTAATCAGGACACAATCTGAGCAGTGAAAAGGTTTTTAATCTGACGTGGAACAACTAGTACCCACCAAAAGCAGAACCAGGAGCCTCTCTGAATCCACGGACTTTAGGCGAATCTGAAACTCAGCTCCTCAGTAGTGGGTGATGAACTAGCAGTGGATCACAGCAAGTCAGAGAGAACTTCCTCTTTAATTCAAGAGAAACTGGATCGTACAACAGGGGCAGGCTCGGCTTTACAAACCCAGAAACTTGGCAGCTGTTGGAGGTCAAAAGACAGAGTTTGGTTAAGAAACCATGTTAGTCATGTTAGAGTAGGCAAATCCATGGGCGTAGCAGGAGACAGGCATCGTGGGGCAGAAACAAGGTCGATGACTAGATAGCAGGAGTAAGAATGTGGTCAGGATCAGGAAGGAAGGAAGCAACAGACTCACATTGAGGCTTCAAAAAAACCATCTGCCTGCCAAGGACCTTTATGTAACTGCAGGGGGGCAAGGGCATGGCATGAGCCTGATGGTAGGTAGGTGGAGTCGATGAGATTGACTGCAGGGAAGGAGAGCTGAGAAAGAAAACAAAGCAGCTAGATCCATGTCAAGTATACCAAATAACCCATGGGGGTCCATAGTCCGGTCCTTGAGAGATACCTGCAAGTTTTACTTGCATGAATCAAATGAATGGTTTGTTACCAGATATATGCTGAGCTGAATGACTTGGAATTCTGCTGTCAAACTCATGTGTTGAAAAGTTATGGGATGGCAGCTCTAAAGCACTGGATTTTGGCAGTCCTGAGAACGTAAAGCTGTGAACGCATTCAGCTGGGGTTACTCTGTTAACTGCTGTTAATTAAATTCACAGACCGATTTATACTGGAGTGTCTTTATTTAGGGCTTCCTCCTTAGTTAAATAGCATAAATAGTTTCTGTTATAGATATAACAGTTATGCATTCTTTGGACCTAGGTTTTCTGATTCAGATTTATCTTCCAACAAACTGTAATGACTTGTAATTATTTGTAATGACAAGTAATCATATGAGGAATATGTCATAATATATGATTAACTCTAAACTGATGATTTCATTGGGAGTTTAGCACAGAATAAGAAAAGTCAACACTGTAAGATATAATCACAAAGTTTAGGAATTTGCTGATAAAACCTCTGACATATTTACAGTTATGAAAAATGTTATTAGACCACCTTGTTTGCCACTTCATATCAGAGAGGTCTGATAATTGTTTCCATGATTAGAAAGGTGTTTTTATTTGTAATAAACATTAAAGTATAAACTGCAAATTAACACTTTTACATCATTGCATTTATGTGAGACTGCTGTTTCTTGATATGCTACCATTGTGTTTTTACAGTGAGCCAGTACACCAACGCCTTCGCCATCACCCAGCTGTGTGGAGTGCTGTGCGCTCCCTGGAATGGGCTCATTATGGACAGGCATAAAGGCAAACCGCGAGCTGCAGGTAACACACTGATAATCTGCATGTGATTTCAGATTTTATGTTTTCCCTGAGAGAGCTATTTGGACGAAGCAAAGAGACAAAAGCTTTGATGTCCAGCTGTTTTGATTTTCCATGTCCTGGATTAATGACAAATATTCCCCTGCATACAGACGAATAGCCAATAAAAAGGGCGGAGCATTTAAATGATTGATTAAAAAGAAAGCATTTTTACATCTTTAGAAGTAAATATTTTACCTATTGTTGACTCATTGTGCCTGGAGTTGGAAAAGGAGCTTTAGGGCTCCAGAGGGGTCCAGCGTAAGACAAATTGGCTATTTGTAGCCAGTAAAAGGATTTTCTTTGTCCTGACTGCAGCGAAAGTGGATGCTTAAAAAAACAAAGCAAATAAAAAAAAACAATGAAACATCAGAAAAATTTATGAAAATAAAAAATGTAAGCTACCAGACAAGGTATATATTTTATAATCCATCGTTTTCTATGATATTGGTAAGAAGGACCAAAAAAATCAGTTACTAATAAATTATAAAACAAGAAATAGGAAAATATTCAACTCAAGAAAAAAGTCATATCATCAAATAGTCTTAAACATTCAGGGATTTACTTTGGTGGTAAGATGCTACATATTGACAAACATAGATTGGACACAAACATACTTGGAAAAAAAATCCCAAATGCAGGTTGTGTAGGATGAAATAAAAAGCAGTAGTTTGCCTTTATTTTGATAGGGTTAACCTACATGGCTGAAGTTTAGTATATTGTTTACAGCCTCTTTCCATAATGATCATACTGTTTGGGTGATATTAATCAAAATATTCCACTATAGTTTATTGTGGGAATGTGAAATTAAAATATCTAGAATTAGTCTCACATACACTTCTGACTTCTTGCATTGAAAACATTTAAAACAGAGTGAAGATATTGCAGCTTTTTGCCTTTTTTCTCTTTTCTGGTCAGAAGGACCTGTACTTATAACACACTTTATAGAGTCAGCAAAGCGTTTTACACGTTCAGTTGTTCATGCACTGATAGTGGTTAGTTATGTTGCATCCACAGCTGCCCTGGGCAGACAGGCAGAACCAGGGCGCCCTCTGACCTAAACACACAATGAATTCCTTACCTTCCTAACTTAACTGGTTTAAACTTGTTAGGCGCATATCTTTAACAAACTCAATCCTTTAAAGTTTCAACATCCATCTAGAAATGATTCCAGTGGGAACTGTTAATGTGACTTACTGAAAGGCTTTGTAAATGATTCATAAGCGTCATTAGAAAAATAAGCTGGTAAATTAATTTTATAGCAACTTGAACAAAAAGTTGTAAGGAGACAAATTAAAGATGTCTGCTCATCTGTAGAGCAGTCCAGTTCAGCTTTGCTGGTTTATTAATGGAAAATTAAGTCCTTTGATAATTTGGGATTTTAAATAGCAGACACATCTGCTTGCTTCTTCATTATGAGGCTAAGAGGTTGAGAAACGTGTTTCCCCTTATCTGTCGTTTTTTTTCTATACAATTTAAGATGCTGTAAATGTAAATATTTCATTTTGCTGCACTGGTTGTCTGTTTGTTCTGGTTCATCAAAAAGGAAAAGAAATAACTAAATGAAGATGTTAATTCGCCAGATTTACCGGCATTGCATTCTTTTTCTGAAGTTAAGATTAAACAGAACACGAAATACGACTGTCAGTGACACTTTGGCTGCCTTTTGGTAGAATAGGATCATGCTGCCAGAATGCCTGGTTGTTGTTTATGGATTCCAAGTTTATCTGTAAACTTCTCATGTTTTCATATTTACAGGAGAAACAGAGCATGAGGCTGACCTGCGAGCTTCTGTGCTTTCCTTATTCCTGACGGCGCTGCAGTGCGTGTTGTTCTCTCTCTGTGCCTCCACCCCCTACCTGCCTCTTCAGTACCTCACCTTCATCCTGCAGGTGCTCAACCGCTCCTTCCTGTATGGCGGCAATGCAGCCTTCATCAGCGTGGCGTGAGTATCAAACCCTGTTTTCAAATTATAAAAAGAACCTGAGTTGTTTGTAAAAGCCCCTCTCTATAAATATAATTAGACTGTAGAGTTTAACATTTTGTTACTCTGTTTTTTTTATTTGTTGCCATTCAGAAAATGTGTTGTTTTATGTTAATTGTGGCCTGTTCATGGATAAAAAAAATTCTCTCTGGCGGAACATGTATATTTTAGTATACATCTACAGTCATTTAGTCAGTTCGAATGTTAGTGTAAAGTTAATTCATTTCAGCACCTCAATTTGCAAAGTGAATATATTTATAGCATCATTTGGCACAGACTGTTTTGTTTTTGAGTGTTTATTTCTGATAATTGATTATTTTTATGCATACAGCTAATAACATTTAAAAAATAGAAATTGACATCAGACAAAAACATATTAAAACAGAAATTTGGGCTGATTAAGATTATTTTGATACATTTGAATTGACATTAAAAAATCTAATTAATTGATTATGACTGATAAGGATAATTTTTCAAATTTATAGAACCAGCATCTCTTTAAACTCTGATATCATGAGCCAAGAATGTGTTACAGGCAGTTGCTGGAGCATCTAACAGTCAAAGCTGTCATGATGGTCACCAGATGACATGATTCATTCAATACATGATTAATTACAAATAGAAAGAAGATGTATGTATGCCCTTATCTATCAATTGGTTCTAGCATTGTACTTAAGCACAAAATCCAGACATCCTACCTCAGGAAAACTCCATCCGGTGCTTGTAAGGCGGCCTAATGCCTCTGAAAGGCATCGACTATGTATGCTGACCTTCCTCTCGTTGTTTTGACTGTCCCGACAGATGCTTCGGTTACTGCCTGTAAAGCATCTCTCCAACTTGTATTTCAAATTCAGTTTTCCACATCAGCGAGAAAAGGAACTCCTAAAATATACCTTTAGGAGTGATAATATTTCAGTATACTTTCTAATATTACTTAACCAATAATATTCTGAAATATTGCTACTCTTGAGTGAAAGTTTTGGCTACCCTGCCCACCTTGAATGTTGTCACTCAATAAAAGGACCCGTTTTGACCAAGAATAAACCAATAGCTGTTTTGGTGTAGGTATAAGGAACTACTTAATGTAGTTCTTCTGGGTAATTATTATTTTTTCTTTAGATTTCCATCCTGCCACTTTGGGAAGCTGTATGGTCTGGTCATGGCTCTGTCTGCCGTCTTTTCTCTGCTCCAGTATCCCTGCTTTGCTCTGATGAAAGGAGCTCTGGGTGGAGATCCTTTATATGTAAGCGCTCTGTTTTTACCACCTTGTTAGCTTAGCTATGAACCCTCCTCTCATGGTCTCTTTCCTCTTCATGTACATGCAGGTGAACGTCGGACTGACCGTGCTCAGCCTGCTGGCCTTCATACATCCGTTGTTTGTCTACCTGCACTGCCGAAATCTCGCCTCTGAGAGAGCAAAGAGCAAAGCCTCAAATTAAAGAGAGTAAAATGAGATCGGTCACTAGTGTTTAAAGCTTTCCACCGTGAATAGTGTTATCATCTGGTCCGCACAAGGCTGCAAACCATTTCCTCACTAGAAACTAAGAAAACTTTACCTTCAGTTAAGAAGGTGATCATTTTTAATATTTAACACTTAGTTTAAGCTAACGTTCTATTTGTTTGTGGTCCTAACTGTCCAAGGGAAGACAAACATTAGGCATAAAATTACAAATCTTTATGTCACAGTGTCAAGTTGAGGATTTTTTACGCCCTAAAAGTGCTATTCTGGAAAACTCAGGAGCAACGATCCAACTTCAGACCAAAGCCTACCATCTAATGCAGCTTTAAACCTGTCAGCACGGGACATTTGTTTTATCTACAAACTGCAAACCTTAGCATAAAATAAAAAATAAAAATACTTAAATATGGTCCTATATCAATCCTAAGTTTTGCAGCAATTTAAATGTACAAAGGGATAGAACGCATGTGTAATGGCTAATGAATCATTAAAGCCTCACATGTGGATAAAAGCTACATTAAGCACTTATTCCAAATATCCTGTTCTAATATAAACATAACCTTTTTCAGATAGCATTTGAATAGAATCAGCCATTTATAAATGCACAAACACCCCTTTATGTAGCAGTGTTATATTCTCTTAAACTCTGGGATAATGAAATGGGAAACTAGAATACGGAGCTTCTATTATGATTAAAAGAAAAAAGGAAGTAAACAAAAAAGGGAACAAAAACATGAAGGTTTTTAGTGTGGCATGTTGTAAGTCAGTTCTTTACTCAAAAATTCAGTGTTAGCATCCGTAAATGTAAAATAATGTAGAACAGCAGTCCTTTCCAAAACCTCCTCTTTAGGTCTGCACAGTCTCAATAAAATGACTTCTACTGCCATTCTTTTTTTGGAGAGAAAAGGGATTTTAAATGAAATGGGAAGGGAAACAGATTCTTTATAAAAGTAAAAGTGTGTTTCACTTCAATTTTTTTTTAGTTTTGTATTTTTTGTTGTGTTTACCTTGTCAACTGATGCTTGAAGATACTCTTTTTTTGCACAGATTTACAGGGCTTGTTACATACCTCTTCCTATGTTTTAATAGTTACTTACATTATATTAAGATATTTTAAGTAGGTCATACTTTTTTCCCACTAATGCAACGTTTTGTAATGTTAAACAACTCACTCACGTTGTTTTTTGCAAACTGTTTGTTTACTATTTGATATTATGTCATTTATGGCTGAAAGGGTAAAGTCACAGGGGTCATGTTTATTTATGCAAACAGTTAAAGCTTGTTAATCAGTTCTGGAGAGTGGGAAACTCTGCCCTCTGCTGGCTGTAAGGCAGACTCATGTCTTAATCTGGAATTGTTTCTCCTTTTTCTTAAATAGAGTATTATTATCTGTGTTTTATAGTAATTAGTTATGTTATGTTGTACTAACATTTGTATAGGATCAGAAAGGGACATTTTCAACTCTAAGTATTTTTGAAAGAGATTTTGAAAGAGAATAAAAATGCACACATTTACTTAACAAAATAAAGCTTTTGATTATCTCTGTTAAAAAAGGATTTTTTTTTAAACCTCACCCAGTTTGTCAAAATGAGGTCATCTGCCACCTAGAGGACATAATGAAAAGTGAAATTGAACCATTGTTTTCAAGAAACGTGACTGATAAACATGTTTTTGTATACAAACTTACAACCTAAATAAAATTTTAAAATCAGCATTTCTTTGTTAGTGTTTGTTTCAGTGACTTAATTTTTTTTTTTTTTTGCTCTTTTAGAATACACCTAATTTAACGTTTTTCAAAAATGAAAATCCTCTTTAGGATGTCACTCTGGCTCTCCAACAGAATCTTCCGAATACTGTGGAACCTAAAATTTGTGTTTTAATGAAATGATGCAAACTTTTTAACAGAGATGGAGTTTATTTCAACTGTTTTTTCACAGTTTTAAGGTCAGGGCTATCAGGTTCGGCACTTGTTGGTCTTCCTCACCCTCCACAGTTTATTCAAACAAGACTGAGTTTGCCTCTCATTTCAGTTAAATTAAAGGGTCACGAAAAAAAGGTTTAAAACTAATAAGGTTAGAGATATACATGATTGCTTCCTGGTGAAACCACTGCATTGTATTATGGGAGGCTCATCAATCACAACTTTGATAAATAAAAGCTATTAAATAGCAGGACAACAAAGCATCCTTTCGATTTCTAAATGTTCTTTAATTTAATCTTCAGCCATTGCCAGATCTAAACAGAAATGAGAGGACTTCAGAACTGTCCTTGAAGTTTCCCTTATTGAATATGAGATATCAGGCTGGGAAATCATTTCTGATTCATCATAGGCTGGGCTTTCTATTTCTAACTGAAACCTGATTAGACCAAAATGACTTTTTATCTATTCTCATCAAAACATCTCGCAAACCTTTAGTTTTGTAAACAAGAAAAGAATGAACAGATCTATGTAGGGGGAGTTGCAGTTTTATTCAAAGCGGTCTTCACATGCAGTCAGCTTGCTAATGTAAATTTTCTCTCTTTCGATTATGTTGCTCTACAGCTACACTCATTCTCTCAAATCCTATTGTTGAACATATACTGACTTCCCAAAGATTGTATAGCTTTCTTGAATTATCTTACTGAACTACTGTCCTTTTAGATTTTTAATGTTGCTGTTCTTGTTGGTTATTACAACTTCATATTAGTATGCAGAGGAATGAAGTGTTGAAGAACTTAAACTCTTTACTGGGCACTAATTGAAATACTTTGAAAATCTAAATTTCAAGCCAGGAGGGTTATTGGAGGATAGGACAAGACCTTATTACTTATGCAACATTCAAAAATATGTAGCCTATATTACCTAAGGTCAATGTAATAACAAGAAACAGCCACTTGCCCTAATATATTAGGAAAAATAAAAGTGCTTCTTTAATAAATTCATCAAAAACACCCACAGAGTGAAAGAAACACTTTTTTTTCCTACTGTGAGGTTCCGTTTGTACATATGCAGGCAACAGATATGCAACAACAGCACAACATCTAGACATTTTACATCTGCTTATTTTTTATACAAATGGAACCTCATACTTTATATGGTATCTAGTGTTTGAATCACTGTGTTTTTCAATCGCAGCTCAACCAACCGAACAATTTTTCCGCCACTAGGTTCGTAATCACAGATGTTTCAGACATGTAGACTGGCAAGATTACAGTGAGGGAACTTCTACATATGCAACATAGACAAATGCAACATTGACATAGTATACAACATAAACATATGCAGCATAGACATATGCAACATTGACATAGTATACAACATAGACATATGCAACATCTACATGTACAACATAGACATGCAGAATCTACATATGCAATAAATACATGTGCAACTTATACATATGCAGACAAAACATATGCAACAATAGCACAACATCTAGACATTTTACATCTGCTTATTTTTGACACAAAAAGAACCTCATATGATTGGGGGGGACTGTGTTTGTAAGGAGTATGCTGGTGATCAATAACGGTAATTTGCCCTATAAAAGGTTAAATGAGCTTTTTAGTCATGAACTGATGCAACATGTAACAGAACCCAAAAATAATTATAGACACACTGTTGATTGAATCATTTATAAAGGACTTCTTATCTCTGTTTAGAGAAGTGGATGTTATTTGATCATTCCTGTGCCGCTGCTTTGTGCTGTCCTGCTGTCCAAAGACATTTTCATACTAAAGTAATCTCTAAAAGGCACAAAATCCAGGCTTTCTACTCAACTCCTGTATATCCCTTGATTTATCTTAGTAATTTAGTAGATAACATTACTTCTAAAATCAAAACTGTTGTAGACACTGTTGCTCCCACCACACTCTTGAACTTTGGCTACTGGAGATCATTTGCTTCTTTTTACACCAAAAAAAAAATTAAACTGATGAATACATGTCATTTTGTCACAATATTTTCAACACTACCTCTGTTGTCCAGCTACCCTACTACCAATTTATTTTGAAATTTATCAGATGTTTTGGGTTCTTGCTCTCTACAAAGCGGTGTGTCATAATCCTGGTCAGGTTAAAAAAATCTATAAAACTGAAGCGTACATTTTTATTTGAGCATAAAATAGCTGCCAGTGTCCACCTTTTGCCTGCTGGTTTTAAGAGCTCATAGAAAGCCAGTTTGAAAAGCCAAAGTTCATGAACATCATGAACCCCGATCTGAATATTGACATTAAACTTAGCATAGAGTCGGTTTTGTTAGGGTTCCAGTTTGTGGAAGCTGTTTTGTGTTTTTTTTTTTGTTTCTCCATCCATCCACTAGATGGTGCCCTTTCCACTGTTTGGCCTGGAGGGCCTCTTCCGGTTTTTCCCCCCACACCTGTGGCTCGTTGGGTCATCACCAGAGGAGTATTTGAGCAGCGGACTGTCACCACCTCGACGCCAGAATGTCTGCCAGTATTGGGTACTCTAGCCTCACAGAGATTAGCGTAGTCAAACCTTTGAGTCTTTGTCTCTCTGAGTTTAAGGTTATTTACCCTTTTGTCTCCTTTGTGTTCTCCGGCAGGATTACCCCCTGATCCGCTGATAAGCCTGGTCCTTCTCCCCTTGGAAGGAATAATTTGTCTCTCACTGAGCAAGGGGAAACCAGATCCGTCCAAGCCCACCTCAGGAATTTCTGTGACAGTCTGCTCCGCTGCTCCTCTGGACACACCATTAGTCTGCCTGTTCGCCCTCCAGCAAGAAACCATCTCCTCTGGACCCACCATTATTCCGCCTGTCTGCCCTCCAGCAAGAAACCATCTCCTCAGGACCCACCATTAGTCTGCTTGTCCACCCTCCAGCAAGATACCATTATCTCTGGACTAATCCCCCTCAAACTGAACCCAAGGATCAACCAAGAACCATTCCTTGTGAGTCAAAACTAAACCATTCATATACTTCGATCAAATTCCCTAAGGACCTTGAACTCATCACTGTGATCTCCCCCCTAGAGTTTCCAGTTCCGGTTCACCAGACCGCTGGATTTTNACCAGATCCGTCCAAGCCCACCTCAGGAATTTCTGTGACAGTCTGCTCCGCTGCTCCTCTGGACCCACCATTAGTCTGCCTGTTCGCCCTCCAGCAAGAAACCATCTCCTCAGGACCCACCATTAGTCTGCCTGTCTGCCCTCCAGCAAGATACAATTATCTCTGGACTAATCCCCCTCAAACTGGACCCAAGGATCAACCAAGAACCATTCCTTGTGAGTCAAAACTAAACCATTCATATACTTCGATCAAATTCCCTAAGGACCTTGAACTCATCACTGTGATCTCCCCCCTAGAGTTTCCAGTTCCGGTTCACCAGACCGCTGGATTTTACCATGCTGATAATTCCCTTAGTTTTGTCTCTCTGAGTTCCATTCAGTCAATAAACTGGTAAACTTTTACCCTGCCCCAGAGTGGTGTTCTGCATGTGGGCTAACTTGAGAAACCCATCATGACACGTTTACCATCGGCTCAAAAAATTAGAATTTGATGAAATATGTCCAAACGAGAATCTGAAAAATAAATTCCTGGATTTCTTTTTATTAGACTTAATTACAGTGAGCTATTTTTACAAAACTTAAAAAAAAACTGACAAATACAATATATCTAAAATACTGCTAATAGTGTCCTTACAAACAAAAAGAAGGATCTTCATATCAGTCCAACTCTGAGGTTTTCAAAAGGTTAGATTATCAATGGCCTTCTAAGTACATATTAATCAGAGCCCTAATTACAAAGATCATTAGATCATTGTGAGTGTTTTAACACTAAGAGTTAGAAAAAAATGCATAGAATTTGGCTCCACTCTAAAGCTGCCAAAAAACTTGTAGAAAGTAAGAATGCTCCCACCCTTAGCAACTTTTAAAAGAGATTAAAAAAATCGTTCTATTTATAGCATATTTTGTGTTTCTCTTAAATTGATTTTAAATATAGGCACTTTAAGAGATAATCCTCCCACAGTCCAAAAACCTGCTATATAAATAAAATTTCCTTCACTTACTTCGCCTAATTTAGAAATCAAAATCCAACACGGCTACCAGACTTATATAGCATATCAGTACATTTAGACCATAAATGTTTCTGTAAAAAAAAAAAAAACATATGAAAACTTGATTGTAGAGCAAAGCTAATCTACTGACGAAGTGCACATTAGATAGCATCTCTGAAATTAACAAAATACGCGATCCATTTACCTGTCATCAAAACATGCAAAAGACTGAGAGGAGAATATTTAAATGTAATTAAACACCCCCAATATGATTGATCAAAGCTCAAATGCAATGTTGGTATAGTTTCTGGGTTTATATACAGTATAGCACAATTAAAAGTCAGATCCAAGATTGCCCCTGACATTGTGGAAATATGGAGAAGTGGAATTTTCCTGTGTTTATCAGTCCGAAGATTTGTTGTTATATTTCATGATATAAATAGCTTATCTCTGTTTGTTAGAGTTGGAGTTGTTCATGCTGTGGTTCGCATATGGCCAGTGCTGAAAAAGCATTTTTGTTTTTTTTAAGTTACGCATCAGGAATGACAGTCATTGGTGGAAAAATTTAATATTTTTGCGTTGGATTTGCTGAACCTTATCGTTAAGAACTCCTGCAGGAAACCAACCGTTTTTCTCCCATTCTTTTTATGAACTAAAAGCTCTAATATCCTCTTTGATAAAAGATTAAAAAAAAATCCATAGTGATAGATCCAAATTTCTTTTCCTTATTTACATGAATAGAGAAGGATGTTTTGTTTCCTCTCTGCCCTGCTGTGACTTATAACCCAAACATTTAATTACAATCAATTTGTAATAATTTTATCCTTCTAATAAAACAAAAAGCTGCTGTTGTGAATCTCTAGCATGGTTGTATTTCTATGTTTATTTACCTTTATTCTACACCACAATATGCATCATTTTCATTGGGCTTTAGTAATAGTCTGCCATGTGAGAATATGAATTTCACCTGTCATGCTTGTGTTTAAACAGCTTTAATCTTTCTCTTTACAACCTAAAGGGCTTTTAATGATTACCGCCTGCAGCTTCTTTATCATTTGTTATCATTTGCCTCCCAATTAAAGACCTGCTGAGTCTAACTTAGAGATTTTGCAACAGATTTAAAGGTTTAATGGACAAAGTGACCATTCAGACTTATTAAACATTTTAACTTGCCCTGAGAAAGTGTTAATCAATAATCCCATGGACATATAGACTCATTACTATTTCAGTCACGTAACACGTTGTGGTATTTCCCAGTATGGGTTAATATTTGTGCCTACTAACCATTCCTCCTCTCAAGATGCATAGCCCCTTTATTATTGTATAGCTCTGAAAAAGTGAAAGGAGCTATTTGTTAGCCTCAATTTAACACAGCAAAGGTTTTTTTTTTTTCTGAGACTCAAAATCTTGCACCACAGATTAGGCCTATCAGCTTCTGCAAATTCACTCACGGTGTTTCCATCATATGACACTTTGACCACAGCTTTTCAGCTTCCACATCTATAAGACATCTGTCATAGCCCCTTGTATTTTGTATTCTTTACAGACACTAAAAGCCATGAGGATGATGAGGGAGATAACGACTGGAGGGATATAAGTGGGAGGAAACTTTGGAGTTAAGCAGAGGAGGGAAGAGCTAATCTTTATAAAGTCAGACAGTAGGACCAGAGAAAGAAACTATTTCTTGAGACAGTTTTAAGCTGCAACCAGACTATCTCAGCAACAGAGAAGGTTAGTTTGTTTTTATAGGTTTGTTTACTTGCAATATTAAAAAGTTTACTGCTGCTGATTTTTTTTATTTTTAACTTTCTGCTTTCTTTGCCGAAATGTAACTCTTCACAGCATCTTATAGAGGACATATCCTGTTTCACCTTATGATAGCGCTTTAAAATGTTTGACCTTTAATGCTTTTTCCTGTGCTTGTCTAAATCGTTATTCTTTTTCTCTTGTCTTTGTTATTAGGAGCCTGTTGCAGTTACTAAACTGCCAGTGTGAATTAGTTTTTAAATTTTGTGCTGCTGAGGACTATTACCCGGGTGATCATGCAGGTGTTGGAGAAGAGGTTGTCGGTCAGACGCTACCTCACCTTTGCTACGGGGCTAGTGGAGTGCTTATGCTTCGCCGGGGCTGTCTTTGGATGGGCTAGTCTTGTTACTGTCCTCAAAGCAGATGGATACTTCAGCTTTCTGTGTGCTAATGCAACAGGAGACAATCACACTCAAATATTAGGTTAGTTTGATGTTACCACTACTTTAAACTATAGATCTAATTTGAGAAAATCAGTTTTACACTACTACTGTAATGTAATTCTCTTTATCCCCGACAGACTGCAGTGCACAGGATGAACAGTTCTCTCTTATTTTCACCATTGCCTCTTTTATGAACAACTTCCTCACTCTGCCCAATGGCTTCCTTTTTGATCACTTTGGTACCACAGTTGCTCGGCTCTTTGCAATGTAAGTACATCCACATTTATGAATTACATATAAACTACACTGATACTCATTTATTTTATGCAAGCACTTTAAGTTTGTCCAATTTTTTTTCCTGTTACAGCCCCACATCATTCATGTCATAGACAGGAAATAAGAAATCAATATATTTAACTTTCAAACTAACAGAACTCAGTTTTACCCCCTTCCCTGATTCTCTTAAAATGCAACCAATTACCCACTAATTGGTCATAAGAGTCCAGCTGTGTGTCGAATCTCAATCTAAATACAACTGTTCAGTATAGGAGTAAAGGTTTGCAATCACCCCCATTGTAAAACATAATGGTGGTATGATGATGCTGTGGGATATTGGGAAGCCAGCTAAACTTGGCAGGAAAATATGTGGAGCTTAATTCAACCAGTTAAGTTAAGTTAAGTTAAGTTAAGTTAAGTTAAGTTAGGTCAGGTAAAGTCAAGTCAGGTTAGGTTAGGTTAGCATGACAACCGTAGTTGTTTATTTTCAATCTATTTTCTCTTCTTTAAAAAAATTTAATGTCTTTACATCTAAATTAAAGACATTGTAGGAACAACCTAAGAAGTTCCCTTTTCAGTTTGTTACAAGCCATTAGGGGAAAAACTAAATATCTGGAGTCCCAGCTTAGATGGAGTGACACTGGAATAATTTGGCCAACATTTCATATTCAAATTTTAATTCTAATATTATGTTAATATATTAACTCCTATAATACTTTGAAATATGTACATACGTGGATTTGGGCTGAATACAGTACAAACCTGGATGGAAACCTGTTGGGGGCAGCAAAACACAGAGCAGGGCTATCCTTCCTGCAAAATAACAATTTTCACCTTCAGGCCAAAGTCAAATCCTTATCATTGACCAGTGTAGACACAAAGCAAAAGATTGTTCATCAGTCTGATTGGTGTGTAACCAAAGCAAAGTGCACTGTGTGTTTATTGAAATGTCCAAAATCTGAAGCCTAAATCCTCATGTGAATTCCAAAGTCTCGCCTGGTCAGCCAGGCAAACAATGCCACTAACGACTCCCCCTTTTCAGAGGCATAGGCCAGTATCGGGCATTGCAGGCTAGCAAAGACCTCAACGATTCACTATTAGGGGGCGGACCTGTTCTTCAGGTTCAATTTGCGTGTTTTCTAAGCCAAAACAAGGCTTTGTTGGGCTACTCTATAAAGCTTGAAACTCAAAGCTAATACTGACATTTTGAATTGAAAAAGCTTCCTGGATGAGAAGTGAGACATCTTAAAACTTTGAAAAGAAAGTCCAGTGGTTTGTTTTTTTTACTTTTTCGGAACTTCCACAGTCCAGAATCTGTCAAAAAAAAATTCAACAAATCTTAGGCAAATAACTATACAGGTTACCATATTTAAGCAACAGAAATCAGGTGTCACTGCATGGGACAGCAGATTGTTCTCATTTTAAAACAAACAAAGGTGTATTATCAAGAAAGTCAACTATCAACTTCTCAAATAGATACTTGCTATAGTCTTTATCAGACCAAAACATTTGCATTGGTGTATTTGAATCATAAACATTTCTTAGTAATTACACAAAGTGATCTGTTATACATGAGCCAATCTATGTCAAAGCATCTCTGCCTCCCACCAGATTTCTTTATACCCTGGGTACGCTGATGGTGGCTTTCTCTTCACCAGGTGAAAAGCAATTACAGATTCAAGTAATTGATCAAAAGCTGTATATCTATTTATAACCTTTTTTTTTTTTTTTGGCTTTTCCTATCAGCTCTGCCTTACCTGCTCTTCCCGGCCCTCCCATTAATGGCTGTGGGCGGCATATTATTTCTCATCACAAACATGCAGGTGAGTTGGTCTTTGAATATTAATCTCTCAACACAGTCATAGGAAAACTAGGTTTGTCTTTGGTGTTTCTGCAAGACGAAGGAGTGGAGAAAGCAGCTGTGTGGATCTGGTTAAACAGACCTGTCAAATTAATAACAGAAGTATTATCTACATATCTATATATACAATAAATCTACAACGTAATTTGTTGATTTATTCTTGAAATAATAAGCCCACACAACATAAGAAGATAAAATTGTGGATAATCGACCTAATTATTTCTTGAACGTTTTTGTTTACGCAGATTAAATTAATGATTTTTGTCGATAAGGTGAAGCAAAATGTTCTGAGAAACCTGTAACAACGCAAAGGTCTCATACCAACTGAGAAGCAGGGTGTTGGGGTGGTGATGATAAGTAGTGTTCTTCTGCACCTCATGAGACCATCAGATCAGAACTTGGAGAAAATCAGTTCTCCTTAAAAGAGGAACTTAATTAATTCAGAATATTAGCATCATTATTCAGACATTTTACATACAATCTGAAAACGACCATATGGCATTTAAAGTAAGATTGGGATTATCTTCGTTATCCTCAAGGAAAGGACAAGATGCTTAAACTGAGCTTCTTTAAAAGAGCCAGAAAGGCAAGTCATTGCTCAGAGGGGCGGAAATAACCGCAGGCTTTCAGGGAAGCTTCTGCTTGAATAGTGTCTTTTAGCTCTGTGAAAGTGTATAACGCATGTTTCCCTAATCATAGTATGCTCTTGTTTACCCTTATTTCCATTGCTAAATTCACAGAAAGACTCAGATACTGGAAACTTGTGAACTTTAAAAGGGCTAGAAAGGAAAAAAAATTATATATTTTATTTATCTGATAAACTGGGAATGACGTTGGAAGCATTTGAACATGATCATTCCAGTACATCTAAAAATAAGCCTCTCTAAATCATACCTTGATGTCCGTCATGGGAACATTGTACATTCATTTTCTCTTTCACTTCATCTCAAAATGGATCTTTCTACTTTAGCCCTTCTTGGAAAAAGAGTTTGTCAAAACTTGGACTTTCAGTCAGAAGAGACTTTGAACTAACTTCTACTTATGCAATGGAAATACGGATTTCCCAAAATTCTGGGTATTGTCTGAATATTTTATTTTTTTAAAGGTGAGACAGAACTTTGTGCATGTCAGTCAGGATGAATTTGGATTGAGCACTTCCTTTATGTCTGCCATTTATGCTCAGCCTATTTAAAAAAAAATACCATTTAAAACCCTGTATATACAGTGCACTGTATATGTATATTGGCGGCAACTTCCTCCTTTTCGTCTTTTTGACTATTGAGCCACTGTAACGAGTAAATTTCTCCACTGTGAGATCAATAAAGTCAATCAAATAATCAATCAATCAATAAATCATGAATTCTTACCCTAATTACAGCAAAGGAGATGAGGCTGCAGGGCTTTAGATTCTGGTTTCCAGTGAGAGCTGCTGGACAGGTTGTCGGCTTGCCCCTTAGGGAAATGTGATCAGTTACCTCCTCCTGGGAGGGTTCACCAGTATTTGGTAAAAATGCTTTCCAACAAATGCTGAGAGTTTTGTCTCCTTGTTTTTTTTTTATTTCTGGAGATTAGACATTAGAGTGAATTGAGTGAATTCTTGATTCTACAAATCTGGAACTTCTCAGGTCAAGAGAAGGTGAACTCAGCTGTCAAAATTATAGGAGGAAATTATATTTCCACAAAAGGTCTGTTTATATTTTGTTTTTTTATTATTTTGGATAGTGAATACATTTTGTATTCACTCTCAGAACCTTATTTTTTTCTTTTTCAAGTGTAAGATCTTGCACTTCCAGTTATTCAGCAAGCTGATCTAAATTAGATCCCTGCCAATGTTCCGAACCTCAAGCAAAAGCTCTGAGATATAGGGGTTTATGTTACTGTCTCAATATGTGTCTGCAATTTATGCAGTGTCTTTAAATACAATTCATCAGCAACATAAAAAGTGCAGTCCATAAAACTGCATTTATTATGCAGCTGTTAAACTTAAGTCCTTTTCAGCTGCAAATGAACACCATGACCCCATTGGTGTCATGCAGGACAGATGGTTAACTTAGATGCACTGAATGATGCAAATTAAAGTCCATCGTCTGACTAATTTTAAACATCCATCTTTGGATTATCTGAAGTACTATTATTGTCTGATCCCCTAAAGGAAAACAGAGAAAATACACATGATCAGGAACCAATTAACTTTTCCATGACCCACTTTCTGAAGAAACTGTTCTCTTTTTTCTGTCTGTTTCACTAGCCAAATCCAGCTCATGTTCAACAGACAAACCACAAGGCCTCTTTGAAAAACCCATGGCTTAGTTAAATATAATGTCGTGTCCACATCCTGAGTTCACCGACCAAAAAAACATAACAAAATCGTTTTTCAAAGTCCCAATATCATCATACGAAAACTTTAATTCCATGTTGTTTTGTTTCTACCTCCTTAAGGTTGGAAACCTTTTTGGTTCACATCGCTCCACCATCATCAATCTTTACAATGGTGCTTTTGATTCTTCCTCAGCACTCTTCCTCATCATTAAGGTAACAGATATTTAGAATCAAAGTATTGCTTTTGTTTTTAATCATCTAAAGATTAAAAATATACCTGATATAACTTAGCTTTCTTTTCTCTGCAGTTGGTGCATGAGTCTGGCGTCTCCCTTCATTCCGCCTTCCTATTTCTGTCTGCCTGCAGCATCTTTCACATCCTCAGAACCTTCTTCCTGCTGCCCAGAAACTTCATTCCTCACCCGCTTCCTGATCAATACTCATACGGGTGAGAACAGACTAACCAGAAGCAGCATTTTCTGTTTTTCTTTTTTCACGATAATCCAAGATTTCCCAAAGCGGGGGTCAGGACCACATTAGATAGGCAGTGACTAATTGGAATTTTTTTTTCTCAAATTCTTTATACATGAAAAATGAATCTCAGTCATTTCAAATATGTCACAATTCCACTGATTTAAAGAGACAGTAACAGTTTGGATAAGCAGAAAATAATTAATCAATTTTGTTATAGCTTTCTGGAGTGGTAGACATTGTGTTAGCTGTGACCCTGCATTAGTGTGATATTTATATAATAAAGAATCTCATTTATAGGCAAGGCAAGGTAAGGCAAATTTCTTTGTATAGCACAATTCAGTACAAACACAATGCAAAGTGCTTTACATAATTAAAATATAAGAAAATAAAACAGAATCAAAGCAAGTATGGAAATAAATAAATAAAAAATACAGAAACAAAAAAGAACATTAAAAACAGTTGGACTAAAGAAAATAAAAAAGTTGAACTAATGATGTTTCAATTGAACTATAACAGTCAAAGGCAATCCTAAACAAAGTTGTTTTTAGTCTTGATTTCAAGGAACTCAGGCTTTCTGCAATTTTACAGTTTTCTTGGAGTTTTTTTTTTTTTTTTCCAGATAAGTGGAGCAAAGGAGCAAAATGCTGCTTCTCCATGTTTAGTTCTGTTTCTAGGTATGCAGAGCAGCCTGCAGCTAGAAGACCTGAGTGGTCTGGAGGGTTGATACACTGCTAGCAAGTCTATGATGTATTTAGGTGCTAAGCCATTCAGAGTTTTATAGACTAACCGAAGTATTTTAAAGTCTATTCTCTGAGATACAGGGAGCCAGTGTAAGGACTTTAGAACTGGGGTGATATGTCCTTAGTGAGGACACGGGCAGCAGCGTTCTGGATCAGCTGCAGCTGTCTGATCCACTTTTTAGGCAGACCTGTGAAAACACCGTTGCAGTAATCAATTCGACTAAAATAAACGCATTTTCCAGATCATGCTGAGACATTAGTCCTTTAATTCTGGAAATGTTTAAATGTTTTATAGAGAAAATGTTTTATAAAGAAAAACACCTTGAAGCTGAACTCCTTTCTCATTTATCTGCAGGATTTCTTGCGGTGCTTCACAGCCTGTGAGCAGAGAGGTGACTGCAAATTGTTGTGGACATTCAGCACTGGAGGACACAATGTGTACACATAGTGTCCCATTCAAGCATGGTTTGTCATTTCTACCCATTTTTTTGTATTTTATGTTCCATCTTCTTTTCTTGGTTTATTAACTATCTTTCCCTTTCAGAGAAGACTTTTCGTGAGTGTTTGCTGTCCAGGTTCTTTGTGTGCCACCTGCTCTGGCTGTCAGTGATGCAGCTCAGGCACTACCTGTTCATCGGCACCCTCAACCCCATGCTGCAGAGGCTGACAGAAGGAGATTCCTCTCTGGGTAACACCCTTACAGTTATCCTAACTCTTTTCGGGAAAGGAAAATGTATTTTTGCAGACTGTTTCTTCTTTGCTGAGGCTGACATGTATTTATTGGAAGATCTAACATACCAGCCATGTATTCAGACTGTTTAGCATGGTGAAAGAGTAGGAGTATTTACAAATGAATGTTCTTCTGACTTCTTTTTTTTTATGCTACCTTTTCCCTGCAGTGAGCCAGTACACCAATGCCTTTGCTTTCACCCAGCTGTGTGCTGTTCTGTGTGCTCCCTGGAACGGTCTCATTATGGACAGACACAGGGGCCGGTCTCGAGCTGCAGGTAACCTACTGATTTTTAGCAGGATCTCTGAAATTTCTACACCCAAAAGCCAATTTTTACAGTATCAGTTAAGGTTTCTCTGAACTTGCAAGCATCAGTTTTAGGATGCTGATAAAAAATTAAAGGGAACGGTTTGCAGAAATATTAATGTGAAATTAATTGACAGGATTCTCTATGCTTTTAGGAGAAACAGAGCACGAGGCTGACCTGCGAGCTTCTGTGCTTTCCTTATTCCTGACGGCGCTGCAGTGCGTGTTGTTCTCTCTTTGTGCCTCCACCCCCTACCTGCCTCTTCAGTACCTCACCTTCATCCTGCAGGTGCTCAACCGCTCCTTCCTGTACGGTGGCATTGCAGCCTTCATCAGCGTGGCGTGAGTATCATCCTCAAATGGAAGCTTGAACGCGAGTTGCCTGATTGTGTTTTGACAAGAAACATAAGGATTTATGCTATTTATAAAAAAAAATTCTGTATAAAAAATTTTCTGATCTTCAATTTTTTCTGTTCTCTTGATAAGATTTCCTTCACGTCACTTTGGAAAGCTGTATGGTCTTGCCATGTCGCTGTCTGCGTCTTTTTCTCTGCTCCAGTATCCTTGCTTTGCTTTGGTGAACGGAGCTCTTGGTGGAGATCCTTTATATGTGAGCACCCATTTTTTTTTTTCATTTTTTGTTGTTATTGTTGAGATGCCTTCTCTAATGGCTTCCTACCTATCACTCTTTGTGTGTGCAGGTGAACATTGGCCTGACACTGCTATGCCTGCTGGCCTTTATACATCCCCTTTCTGTATATCTTCATTGTCGAAAACTTGCATCTCAGAGAGACAAGATCAAAGCCATCCCTTTGTCCTCTTGAAGACAACAGACTTATGGGATAAGGTTGACAACACACAGGATATAACTCTTCAATTTCACCAATGGAGACAGAAATTTGTTTTTATCTAATACACAAGATCTGCAAACAGTATGGTGACCCCTAAGTGTAACAGACAGGCTTTTTCATGAGTTTATTTCCTAACAACCACATAGTTTGCCCGGAGCTTCACAATTTATCTGAGCCACAGGAACCATGCTGCTGATGAAAGGTCATCTGTAATTCACCAACACACACAGCTTTCTTTCCCCTATCTACTCCAAAAATCACATGAGCACATACCACAGTCCTGTTGAAGTGTTAAATCTGGCAGTTCTGGCTCTGAGAGACCATGTTATGGATTCTACTTTGGTTGAACCCCCTCCCAAAAAAACGAAAAAAAAACATCCAAACCTTCATGTTCAGGAGTGAAGAGCAGGACATCAATGGCCCCTGGTAAAATGTCACACTCATTTTGATGGAAACCTCAAAGCTTCCTATGAATAGAAGTTTAATTTAGGTCATTTCTCAGTTTCTGTGTCTGATCCTGGTTCTCTTCCTACTGACAGGAATCGTTTTAGTGGCGATGTCCATATTCAACTAAAGCCACAGTGGCCATCTTGTTTCTGAGGCTCGATAATCAGTAAAAGCCTGTTTTCCTATTATGCCACAACATATACATTTTTAAAGTTTTTAATGCAACAATTCATGGCTCGTCACTGCCAGACGCTTCAAAGGGAATCTCATTCAGTCCTCCTTACCAAATAACTTCAGCTTTTCCGTTACCTGTGACACTTCTTATGAGATGATGAACAAACCTGGTTCTGTAAATTTGGCCTGTCCATCAGTGTAAGTGCATCAGTCAAGTCCTCCATGTGCTCTGTCCATTACTGAACCAAATTAAAAGTCTAGTTCCCCAACTAAGCTAGGAACACTGTAAAGGCCTGAACACACCGGTTGCATATGACTTGTCCATGTCACACTGACTGCGTATAGAGAGGCTCTGACTAGGCAGGGTGGGCAGATCTGCACAGATTTTTTCGCTTGTCTCTGTGCTATACACAAATTAAAACAATTTCCCCATTTGACTTGGACAGATTAAGAAAAGTTATTTAAAAACAAGAAATAAAAACAAAGACCTACTTAACGAATCTGTGCAGCATCTCAAACCAGATCAGATAGAGCAGGCATCCCCAACCTCGGGCCTCGAGGCCTGCTGTCCTGCATGTTTTAGAGGTTTCCTTGCTCCAGCACAGCTGATTTTAATTGAAAGCTGATTAACAGGCTTTTGGTCTACTGCAATCATTATAATCAGCTGTGCTAAAGCAGGGAAACTTCCAAAACCTGCAGGACAGCGGGCCTCAAGGACCAAGGTTGGGGATGCCTGAGATAGAGAATGTTATATGCCTATATTAAAAATATAATGAGATCTATGTTTAAAGAAAAGAAAAACACAGCAATAAAAGCCGTGGGGCAGTTTATATGCTGACTGATTCTCAGAGAGAGATCGCTAAAGTTTTTCTTTTTTCATAAAGAGGTGAGAGAGATACGCTTGGGCTCTGTCTGCCATTCGTTATTTTGTTTTTTGTGAGGCTCAAAGAGCATCGATATTTTACTATATCATTTTTTTTCTCTTGAGGTTTTTTTAGAGGATCACTACATTATCCATTTTCTATCCTCCTAAGCTCCTATTATGTGTAAGGTATTATATTTTTAATATTTCATTCATTGTTTTTGCACCAGTCTGTCCCGCTTACTATATACACGGTGTGTGACTCCAAAACGTACTGTTTTCCTGTGCGATTAACAGATTTTATTTTAGATTTTCCTACAAACTGGATGTGTTATATTTTGTAACCACATCTCTTTTCCTGTCAGACCAATGAAACTGTCGCTGAATAGCTGCATAGTCCAACTAAAATAAACCTGGGGTCTATCTCAGTCGAACCTATGCAAGCCCACTTACGTAAAATCATGTCGGGTGTGATCAGCTCCATTGACTTTCAAGAAGCGCTAAACGCCACAACCTCGTCCCGCACAATTTTCTCTTGGATTTGATACAAAATCTGATTCGGTGTGTTCTGGTCTAAAGGTTATCCCTTCACTCAGACAGTATGCCATGGATTTCCTTGAGTTAATGCATAACACCTGAAGACCTTTCTCTAGGAGGTTTAATCGTCATTGCTGACTTTTAATTGCTCATCTGCCTTCTGCTCTTAACATGCACAGGAGGAAAATGAAATTAGATCATAGCGTTTGAAATTAGGTACCTAGAAAGTTGCTTATCTATATCAAAAATCACAAACTTTCCTTGGGACGTTTTACAAGGCCTCAGGCATTGTTTTGATCCTATCAACCTTAGCTCAGACGTCTTAAGATAAAAAGTAAAAAAAAAACAATCAGCTCATTCAGCGAGGGTCTGAAGATTCCCTGGATACGCCTACAGTTCCACAGGGCAACCATTCAAATGCCATGCTCAAGGACCCCAGGCTGGGATTGGACCTAGGAACTTTTTGCAGTGTCACCATCTGTTCCAATAAGCAGCCTAGAATGTGGCAGCACTTTTAGGAGAGCTTGCAAACATTCTTAGTCTTGGTAATGGGAACTTCTGCTATGTCCAAAAGCACAGCAAACAGTCAGAACTTCCTTCCAGAGGCCTAGTCTACAGAGAAGCAACTCATTCATCTAGATCAGGCATCCCCAAAGTCGGTCGTCGAGGGCCACTGTCCTGCAGGTTTTAGACGTTTCCCTGCTTTAGCACAGCTGATTTTGATGATTGCAGTTGAGAAAATGCCTGCTAATGAGCTTTCAATTAAAACCAGCTGTGCTGGAGCAAGGAAACCTCTAAAACCTGCAGGACAGTGGCCCTTGAGGACAGAGTTTGGATATGCTGACCTAGATGATTGTTAATATCCATTTTCACTCCTCAAAACTCTCTTTGGTCAACTCTGAAACAACTGGGTAATGGTCACCAACTTTCCTGCTGTAGATTGTACAACTGAGGTAAATTTACATATGTAGAGCCAGTGAGATTATGCAAAGCTTCGCTTCCAGTTTTAGCTGCTAGAGCTAAACTGTACCCATCATTCTTCTCTGTGGGTGGTGGACGTAGATAAAACAACCTGCATCTTGTTAAAAAAAAAAGGGGCCAGGCTAACATCTGCAAGCTAAGAGTGGACCAATAAGCCAATTATATGCTTTATCACACCCCTCCTCTTGATGCTCGGCTCTAGAACAGTTTACAGGTACAGCTGAAGGCATTGTCACCGGTGTCCTTCAGTCTTTATTTCAATGTCTCCAGTAAATCTGCCCAACAGTGTAATTTCCTCCTTCTTATCTTATGTTCATTGTGATTAATCCTAGTCTCAACAAATCTAAAGAAAACAGAGATAAATTATAGTTCTTTTTTATATTTTATCTTAAGTTAGAGTTTTTAAAAGTCGATGTAAAGCTTGAATCATTTATGTTTTATGATTTTAACTGATGTGACTTTTAAGTGTTGCGAATAAAGTTGCTCATGTGGTGCTGGTATGCTTTTTTCAGACCTTGTAATTTGTACGATTTAAAACTATATTTTCTGTAACATCCGTGACTTTAACAGTGCTCAATGGTTTTACTTTTGTTTGCTTGTATTTTGTTGCTTATGTCTCAGGCATTTAGGTTCCAATAGTAGCAAACTTCCAAAGCTGAGGGTGAAACAGCTGTTATTCTTATTAAAATAATTTAAAAAAAGCTCTTCATGTCATACTAATTTAACAGAGACCCTGTTACAGATTATACTTTGATTGAAAAAAAAACCCCAAAACATCCAGACCTTCATGGTCAGGAGGGAAAAGCAGGACGTCAATGAACCCCTGATAAATTTCACACTTATTTTTGATGGGAACCACAATGCTTTCCATGAATATACAGTTTATTTAGGTCATTTCTCAGTTTCTGTGTCTGCCCCTGGTTCTCTTCCATCTGTCAGGAATCCCTCTCGTGGCAGTGTCCTAATTGCACTAAAGCCATAGCGGCCATCTTTGTTGCGATTAGGGCTGCAACTAATGATTATTTATCAAACTAATTAATCTGTCAATTATTTTTTCAATAAATCGATTAATAATTGGATAGCAAAAGGTTCCTTAAAAAAGACTTTTCACAAAATCAAACCAAGGGAAACTGTTCCACTTGGGGAGGCTGGATAGAGCATATTGACAGGCGAAAAAGATTGTTTGTAGCTTAAATGCAAAATGTTCATATATATATTTTTTTTTTACAACTTTGGTATAATTACTGCTCTAAGTGGGTTGCTTCGTCAGCTAAAGGCATGTTTTAGAATTTCTATACTCCGATTAATCGATTGTTTCCGCCCTAGTTCTGATAATTAGTAAAAGCCTGTTTTCCTATTATGCTACAACATATAAATTTTTAAAGTTCTTCATGCAACATCATTACAACCAGACGCTTCAAATGGGAATCTCATCCAGTCCTCCTTCCCAGCTAATTTCAGCTTTTTTGTTACCTGTGACAATTCTTATGAAAGCTTCTTATGAAAGACTCAAAATTCAATACCATTCAGTACAGTGACCACAACAGTATTAGTAAAAGGAGAGCCGTAAGCTTGCAGAAAAGAAAGAATAGATGAGAATAAAATGCTAAATAGTTTTGATGACAAAGTTGAAACGGACAAAAACGAATTTGAAAACTTTCCAATTCTGTTGTCTTCATGGAACTCCTCAGTATCAGAAAAGATGCACAAAAACCTAAGTGTCTCCAGAGGGAGCTACACTAAAGCTGATAAACTGGGATGATTTTTATTCATGAAGACAAGTTCATAAACTCTTTCTGCAGAGAAGGTAAACCAGGCTGCATATATGAATTATGCTTTTCTATGGACAAAGCTTAACCTAAACATGCACTTTATCAGATTACATTTTGTTGGAAATAATTACATGAAATAAAAAGGGATCAGCAAATAAAATGCAAAAGAAAAATTATGCATTTTTAAAGGTTGAGATAAAGAAATTAATTTCTGCATTGGGAAAAAATTATGAATTAGATTCAAAGCTTTTGAAATCAGCATGACGCCTCTGATCCTTTTTTCCTGGGAGGTGTTGGGAGTTTTGTCACTGGGCATAATAGTTGAGGCAAAAGTGTTTCCCTTTTTTGTATAAATAGAAGGGAAACTCCCCCACAACACCTGCTGTGCACTAACACAACCCGAAAAAAGACTTGATGCGTCCCCGCAAACTCTCTCACACCAACAGGTTGTTTCTGTGTGCGTCATTGATGATTTCAGCTTCAGCCTCTCGCTCGTTTAAAAATAAATGATGGCATGTATGCACATCTAAATCAGGAGAGAAGGCAACAGAAAAGACAGATTAAAATCAGTCTGTTAATGAGGTGACTTGGTTCTACACCACATTTTTTATGACAGACAAAAGACTCAAACTGTCTGCTTTCTTTGGTCAGTGCAGCAGGCATATAGTCACAAATGTCAGCCCTTCATATTGTCGCCATTTATGTGTTTGTTTCCATCTGCTCCTAGTGGCTAATAGAAAAACAAATCCTTTCTGAAACTCGGCAGCAGCTAGCCATTAACATGCTGGCATTTTGCTGGGGAGTGTTGGTCCAGTGGTTGGGGCAGTGCGCTTGTGCTCTGTGAAGGTTTCAAGTGCCCAGTTCGATCCCCAAAGCTTCTGAGCAAAACCCTTAACCTCACACAATGGCAGCCCACTGTTTCCCAAGGGGATGGGTCTTTGCCTAGGGCCCCAAATTTCCTAAATCCGCCCCTGGCTGGCTGGCTGGATGGATGAAAGAAAGAAAGAAAGAAAGAGAGAAAGTTATGATGAAAAAAAATCCAGAACGTCATCCAGACTGCATGCAGCCGTCATTAGTGCAGGCACAGTGCTGGTTCTATTAAAGTCTCTTTCATTCAGAGGAAAACACTGATGATGGACAACGATCATCAGATGGCTCAAACAGACGCCAACATTTTTTTTCTACTTGATGATCATTTTCAATTGGATTCATGTCAGATTCACATGTCCATTTTAGTGACCCACATTCAAGTAGTGGGTGACTATTTGAATAAAATCTTTGGCACGGCCTTCTCGTTTGAATTGATTAGTGGTAACTTGGGTAGAAAATGATGTTGAGACTCAGGAAGAGGCTGAGGAGCAGGAG